CTATTTCGTCTTTCTTCACGGATGTACTCTTTGTAAACGAGGGTGAAGACAATCGTCCTTTAGTGTCCCATGGGTGACGATTGACTTCCTCGTAGGACAAAATACCTAGTCACCTGGACATTCGGTGGCTAGAGGTTAACCTAAATTTTAGGTTAAATAGATAGTTCGGGACTGTTCGACCGAACTCCTGGGAGTTCTAATTAGGGGGAATTTTAACTGGTCTTTCAACATCTGGCCGAATTAATATTACAGCTACCAGACTGGTCGAATCTCCCAGGCATTTTTTGTTCAAAGCTCGATTTGAACGAATTTTACTTATTGTTTTTGGTGCAGGCCCCTACTGATTGTTTGTTTTGCACCATGGATATTTGATTTGGGGGGTCGATTCGGTTGGATTTTGGGGTTGATTAGGTGGCGCTGGAGGCGAATGCCTTAGATCAACCTCGGGCAATTCAATAAAATCGTCGTATCCCTTACTAAACCTGTTAGAAATACGCACAACCTCCCCACGAAAATCTGTACATAATAAAACTCGAAATCATCATGATTTTGGTCTGGCGACACTGTGTGCAGGTCATTATTTTGCTATTTACCAGACTGTCTTTCCATACATGACATGAAAACAGATTATAGACTATGCTACATGTAATATTATATTCTGGGACTATACACTACACAATAGCCTAACGACTAAAGACATACCTATGTAACTTTGTGCACAACCTGCGAATTCACTCCTACATATTTACTAAAACTGACCACAATTATTTTGTTTTGGCCTTTTTCCATTAAGTTCTTCGTTAAATCAAAAGTGAACATACCTCAAATATTCAATAGGTTCCTCAATGCAATTAAAACGAATCTTTTATCTCAAACATTCATAAATAGGTATTTTGTAAAATATTTTAATAAATAAGTGCGCAATGCAAAAATAAACAATTGCAGAAAAAAGCCGGTATACTAAAAGAGCAAGTAACACAAACAAAGAGAGAGAGAGAGAGAGAGAAAATAAGAAGAAAAGAGCTAAATAACAACAGAGATGGAAATGTATGATATAAATATTAAAAATTTATTTGTATTTGTATGACTAGACTATAGACTAAACTAAGTCAGGACTATAGACTAGACTATATACTAGACTAAAGACTAGACTATAGACTAGAATATAGACTAGACTATGGACTATACCAGAGACTAGACTATAGATGAGACTATAGACTTGCTTATAGACTAGACTATAGACCTTGACTATAGACTAGACTATAGACTTGCTTATAGATTAGACTATAGGCTAAAATATAGACTATCGAACGTACTATATACTAGTTTGTAGATTAAACTATAGACTTAGACTATATACTAAACTATATATATATACTATAGACTACACTATAGATTAAAATATTGACTAGACTATGGACTATACTATTGACAAAAGTATAGATGAGACTATAGACTTAACTATAGACTTGCTTATAGATTATACTATAGTCTAAATTATAGACTATGGAACGTACTATAGACTGGAATATGGACTAGACTATAGACTAGACTATAGACTAGACTATAGACTAGACTATAGACTAGACTATAGACTAGACTATAGACTAGACTATAGACTAGACTATAGACTAGACTATAGACTAGATATGACTAGACTATAGACTAGACTATAGACTAGACTATAGACTAGACTATAGACTAGACTATAGACTAGACTATAGACTAGACTATAGACTAGACTATAGACTAGACTATAGACTAGACTATAGACTAGACTATAGACTAGACTATAGACTAGACTATAGACTAGACTATAGACTAGACTATAGACTAGACTATAGACTAGACTATAGACTAGACTATAGACTAGACTATAGACTAGACTATAGACTAGACTATAGACTAGACTATAGACTAGACTATAGACTAGATATAGACTAGACTATAGACTAGACTATAGACTAGACTATAGACTAGACTATAGACTAGACTATAGACTAGACTATAGACTAGACTATGGACTAGACTATAGACTAGACTATAGACTAGACTATGGACTAGACTATAGACTAGACTATAGTCTAGACTATAGACTAGACTATAGACTAGACTATAGACTAGACTATAGACTAGACTATAGACTAGACTATAGACTAGACTATAGACTAGACTATAGACTAGACTATAGACTAGACTATAGACTAGACTATAGACTAAACTATAGACTAGACTATAGACTAGACTATAGACTAGACTATAGACTAGACTATAGACTAGACTATAGACTAGACTATAGACTAGACTATAGAATAGACTATAGACTAGACTATAGACTAGACTATAGACTAGACTATAGACTAGACTATAGACTAGACTATAGACTAGACTATAGACTAGACTATAGACTAGACTATAGACTAGACTATGGACTAGACTATAGACTAGACTATAGACTAGACTATGGACTAGACTATAGACTAGACTATAGTCTAGACTATAGACTAGACTATAGACTAGACTATAGACTAGACTATAGACTAGACTATAGACTAGACTATAGACTAGACTATAGACTAGACTATAGACTAGACTATAGACTAGACTATAGACTAGACTATAGACTAGACTATAGACTAGACTATAGACTAGACTATAGACTAGAGTATAGACTAGACTATAGACTAGACTATAGACTAGACTATAGAATAGACTATAGACTAGACTATAGACTAGACTATAGACTAGACTATAGACTAGACTATAGACTAGACTATAGACTAGACTATAGACTAGACTATAGACTAGACTATAGACTAGACTATAGACTAGACTATAGACTAGACTATAGACTAGACTATAGACTAGACTATAGACTAGACTATATAGACTATAGACTAGACTATAGACTAGATTATAGACTAGACTATAGACTAGATTATAGACTAGACTATAGACTAGACTATAGACTAGACTATAGACTAGACTATAGACTAGACTATAGACTAGACTATAGACTAGACTATAGACTAGACTATAGACTAGACTATAGACTAGACTATAGACTAGACTATAGACCAAACTTTATACTAGACTATAGACTAGACTATGGACTAGACTATAGACTTCATACTATAATTTGGCATAGACTTTATTCTAGACTAGGAATATGAGACTATAGACTTAACTATAGACTTGCTTATAGATTATACTATAGTCTAAATTATAGACTATGGAACGTACTATAGACTGGAATATGGACTAGACTATAGACTAGACTATTGACTGGACTATAGACTAGACTATAGACTAGACTATAGACTAGACTATAGACTAGACTATAGACTAGACTATAGACTAGACTATGACTAGACTATAGACTAGACTATAGACAAGACTATAGACTAGACTATATACTAGACTATGGACTAGACTATAGACTTCATACTATAATTTGGCATAGACTTTATTCTAGACTAGGAATATGAGACTATAGACTTGACTATAGACTATGCTATAGACTATGGAACGTACTATAGACTGGAATATGGACTAGACTATAGACTAGACTATTGACTGGACTATAGACTAGACTATAGACTAGACTATAGACTAGACTATAGACTAGACTATAGACTAGACTATAGACTAGACTATAGACTAGACTATAGACTAGACTATAGACTAGACTATAGACTAGACTATAGACTAGACTATAGACTAGACTATAGACTAGACTATAGACTAGACTATAGACTAGACTATAGACTAGACTAATAGACTAGACTATAGACTAACTATAGACTAGACTATAGACTAGACTATAGACTAGACTATAGACTAGACTATAGACTAGACTATAGACTAGACTATAGACTAGACTATAGACTAGACTATAGACTAGACTATAGACTAGACTATAGACTAGACTATAGACTAGACTATAGACTAGACTATAGACTAGACTATAGACTAGACTATAGACTAGACTATAGACTAGACTATAGACTAGACTATAGACTAGACTATAGACTAGACTATAGACTAGACTATAGACTAGACTATAGACTAACTATAGACTAGACTATAGACTAGACTATAGACTAGACTATAGACTAGACTATAGACTAGACTATAGACTAGACTATAGACTAGACTATAGACTAGACTATAGACTAGACTATAGACTAGACTATAGACTAGACTATAGACTAGACTATAGACTAGACTATAGACTAGACTATAGACTAGACTATAGACTAGACTATAGACTAGACTATAGACTAGACTATAGACTAGACTATAGACTAGACTATAGACTAGACTATAGACTAGACTATAGACTAGACTATAGACTACACTATAGACTACACTATAGACTAGACTATAGACTAGTTTATAGACTAGACTATAGACTAGACTATAGACTAGTTTATAGACTAGACTATAGACTACACTATAGACTAGACTATAGACTAGACTATAGACTAGATTATAGACTACACTATAGACTAGACTATAGACTAGACTATAGACTAGACTATAGACTAGACTATAGACAGACTATAGACTAGACTATAGACTAGACTATAGACTAGACTATAGACTAGACTATAGACTAGACTATAGACTAGAATGGACTAGACTATAGATTTCATACTAATAATTGGCATAGACTTTATTCTAGACAAGGAATATGAGACTATAGACTATACTATTAGACCGGCCTATGACTAGAATATACATGATGCACAATAGGCTAGACATATGATAGTCTAAAATAGTATTCAAACCATAGAATAGACTACCTATTGATAATTCTACTACTTCTGAGCTTTCCATTCCTGATTTCAAGGCATGTCACCGCGAGAATAACAACAGAAAGAGAGTAAGTGATACACAACAATACCAAATAAGAGAATAACATCAAAAAAAGATGTCAAAATTAAAAATAGCAACAACAAATTTAGCAATTTGTATACAACCAGTTCTAAGAAAATATGTCAGGATTGTGGGTTTTTTCGGTGGGTCGGTCGTTTGAAAACATAATTTACGCCAAGAAAATAGAAAGAAAATTAAGTTTTCAAACAGAGAATAGTTAAAACAAATACATTACGAATAAATACTTCAACGAGATTAGTTTGTAGATGGTAAGAAGAATAAGATAAATAATACAACAATTTCTATAACTACATAAATGTCAAAATAAATTCACCAAAAAAGCAAACAATTAAGAATAATAACAAAAATAAACAATTAAAAACACAATAACAAATACAACAATTAAACTAATGTGTAATTAAAACAAAATATTTTTAAATAAAAAACAAAAACAAATTTTTTGATAATGCAGCCACAAAAATTTAGAACACAACATCAAACCGAAATGCAGAAATTGTTGTTATTGTTGTATGTATGTAAATAATAAATAAATAAAAACACAATATTTATTCTTTGACACATAATAAAAACAGATAAAGTGAAAGTGTATTTAAAAGCAAAAAAGTATATGTAAACAAATAAATTTAATAAAATTTAACACAACAACGTACTATACTAGAAGATAAATAAAACGCCAAAAAAAAAAATAGAATTTGTTACGAGATATCAACGAAATAAAAAAGTTTTTAATTGAACTTTAATCAAGCATTACAAAACGTTTATGTAAATACAACTACAACATCTTCCTCAAACATTTTAATTATTGCAAAGGTAAGTAGCAACGACCTTCAAAATACCTTACTCAACTGTCAAAATATTAAACTTTATAAATCAAATATTATCTATACATACATATTTATGTACATACATATGTTAATGAGATGAGTAAACTTGCAACATAAGGCAAAAACGAATTTTGAGTACCCTATTGTTCAAAAATCACAAATAATCTGCAAATCATAAATTTAAGTAAAAGTTTCATAAGTTATTAGTAAAATTTAGAATTTTTAGTAAAATTTTTAATTTTTTGTAAAATTTCAAATTTTTAGTAAAAATTTCAAATTTTTTTGAAAATTTAGAATTTAAAATTTTTAGTATCAATAGACTAGTCCATGGACTAAGTAGTCAATGGTTTAGTACATAGTTTAGTCTATAGTCTAGTCTATAGTCTAGTCTATAGTCTAGTCTATAGTCTAGTCTATTGTCTAGTCTATAGTCTAGTCTATAGTCTAGTCTATAGTCTAGTCATAGTATAGTCTATAGTCATTATAGTCTAGTCCTATAGTCTAGTCTATAGTCAGTCTATAGTCTATTATAGTCTAGTCTATAGTCTAGTCTATAGTCTAGTCTATAGTCTAGTCTATAGTCTAGTCTATCAGTCTAGTCTATAGTCTAGTCCTATAGTCTAGTCCTATAGTCTAGTCTATAGTCTAGTTCTATAGTCTAGTCTATAGTCTAGTCTATAGTCTAGTCTATAGTCTAGTCTATAGTCTAGTCTATAGTCTAGTCTATAGTCTAGTCTATAGTCTAGTCTATAGTCTAGTCTATAGTCTAGTCTATAGTCTAGTCTATAGTCTAGTCTATAGTCTAGTCTATAGTCTAGTCTATAGTCTAGTCTATAGTCTAGTCTATAGTCTAGTCTATAGTCTAGTCTATAGTCTAGTCTATAGTCTAGTCTATAGTCTAGTCTATAGTCTAGTCTATAGTCTAGTCTATAGTCTAGTCTATAGTCTAGTCTAGTCTAGTCTATAGTCTAGTCTATAGTCTAGTCTATAGTCTAGTCTATAGTCTAGTCTATAGTCTAGTCTATAGTCTAGTCTATAGTCTAGTAGTCTATAGTCTAGTCTATAGTCTAGTCTATAGTCTAGTCTATAGTCTAGTCTAGTAGTCTATAGTCTAGTCTATAGTCTATAGTCTAGTCTATAGTCTAGTCTATAGTCTAGTCTAGTCTAGTCTATAGTCTAGTCTATAGTCTAGTCTATAGTCTAGTCTATAGTCTAGTCTATAGTCTAGTCTATAGTCTAGTCTATAGTCTAGTCTATAGTCTATTCTATAGTCTAGTCTATAGTCTAGTCTATAGTCTAGTCTATAGTCTAGTCTATAGTCTAGTCTATAGTCTAGTCTATAGTCTAGTCTAGTCTATTCTATAGTCTAGTCTATAGTCTAGTCTATAGTCTAGTCTATAGTCTAGTCTATAGTCTAGTCTATAGTCTAGTCTATAGTCTAGTCTATAGTCTAGTCTATAGTCTAGTCTATAGTCTAGTCTATAGTCTAGTCTATAGTCTAGTCTATAGTCTAGTCTATAGTCTAGTCTATAGTCTAGTCTATAGTCTAGTCTATAGTCTAGTCTATAGTCTAGTCTATAGTCTAGTCTATAGTCTAGTCTATAGTCTAGTCTATAGTCTAGTCTATAGTCTAGTCTATAGTCTAGTCTATAGTCTAGTCTAGTCTAGTCTATAGTCTAGTCTATAGTCTAGTCTATAGTCTAGTCTATAGTCTAGTCTATAGTCTAGTCTATAGTCTAGTCTATAGTCTAGTCTATAGTCTAGTCTATAGTCTAGTCTATAGTCTAGTCTATAGTCTAGTCTAGTCTAGTCTATAGTCTAGTCTATAGTCTAGTCTATAGTCTAGTCTATAGTCTAGTCTATAGTCTAGTCTATAGTCTAGTCTATAGTCTAGTCTATAGTCTAGTCTATAGTCTAGTCTATAGTCTAGTCTATAGTCTAGTCTATAGTCTAGTCTATAGTCTAGTCTATAGTCTAGTCTATAGTCTAGTCTATAGTCTAGTCTATAGTCTAGTCTATAGTCTAGTCTAGTCTAGTCTATAGTCTAGTCTATAGTCTAGTCTAGTCTATAGTCTAGTCTATAGTCTAGTCTATAGTCTAGTCTATAGTCTAGTCTATAGTCTAGTCTATAGTCTAGTCTATAGTCTAGTCTATAGTCTAGTCTATAGTCTAGTCTATAGTCTAGTCTATAGTCTAGTCTATAGTCTAGTCTATAGTCTAGTCTATAGTCTAGTCTATAGTCTAGTCTATAGTCTAGTCTATAGTCTAGTCTATAGTCTAGTCTATAGTCTAGTCTATGTCTATTGTCTAGTCTATAGTCTAGTCTATAGTCTAGTCTATAGTTAGTCTATAGTCTAGTCTATAGTCTAGTCTATAGTCTAGTCTATAGTCTAGTCTATAGTCTAGTCTATAGTCTAGTCTATAGTCTAGTCTATAGTCTAGTCTATAGTCTAGTCTATAGTCTATTCTATAGTCTATTCTATAGCTTAGTCTATAGTCTAGTCTATAGTCTATTCTATAGTCTAGTCTATAATCTAGTCTATAGTCTAGTCTATAGTCTAGTTTATAGTCTAGTCTATAGTCTAGTCTATAGTCTAGTCTATAGTCTAGTCTATAGTCTAGTCTATAGTCTAGTCTATAGTCTAGTCTATAGTGTATTCTATAGTCTAGTCTATAGTCTAGTCTATAGTCTAGTCTATAGTCTAGTCTATAGTCTAGTCTATAGTCTAGTCTATAGTCTAGTCTATAGTCTAGTCTATAGTCTAGTCTATAGTCTAGTCTATAGTCTAGTCTATAGTCTAGTCTATAGTCTAGTCTATAGTCTAGTCTATAGTCTAGTCTATAGTCTAGTCTATAGTCTAGTCTATAGTCTAGTCTTAGTCTAGTCTATAGTCTAGTCTATAGTCTAGTCTATAGTCTATTCTATGGTCTAGTCTATAGTCTAGTCTATGGTCTAGTCTATAGTCAAGTCTATAGTCTAGTCTATAGTCTAGTCTATAGTCTAGTCTATGGTCTAGTCTATAGTCAAGTCTATAGTCTAGTCTATAGTCTAGTCTATAGTCTAGTCTATAGTCTAGTCTAAGTCTAGTCTATAGTCTAGACTAGACTTTAGTCTAGTCTATAGTGAACTGAACTAGAACTGAGCTAGAACTGAACTAGAACGGAACTAGAACTGAACTAGAACGGAACTAGAACTGAACTAGAACTGAACTAGAACTGAACTAGAACTGAACTAGAACTGAACTAGAACTGAACTAGAACTGAACTAGAACTGAACTAGAACTGAACTAGAACTGAACTAGAACTGAACTAGAACTGAACTAGAACTGAACTAGAACTGAACTAGAACTGAACTAGAACTGAACTAGAACTGAACTAGAACTGAACTAGAACTGAACTAGAACTGAACTAGAACTGAACTAGAACTGAACTAGAACTGAACTAGAACTGAACTAGAACTGAACTAGAACTGAACTAGAACTGAACTAGAACTGAACTAGAACTGAACTAGAACTGAACTAGAACTGAACTAGAACTGAACTAGAACTGAACTAGAACTGAACTAGAACTGAACTAGAACTGAACTAGAACTGAACTAGAACTGAACTAGAACTGAACTAGAACTGAACTAGAACTGAACTAGAACTGAACTAAAACTGAACTAGAACTGAACTAGAACTGAACTAGAACTGAACTAGAACTGACTGAACTAGAACTGAACTAGAACTGAACTAACTGAACTAGAGCTGAACTAGAACAGAACTAGAACTGAACTAGACTGAACTAGAACTGAACTAGAACTGAACTAGAGTTGAACTAGAACTGAACTAGAACTGAACTAGAACTGAACTAGAACTGAACTAGAGTTCAACTAGAACTGAACTAGAACTGAACTAGAGCTGAACTAGAAATGAACTAGAAATGAACTAGAACTGAACTAGAACTGAACTAGAACTGAACTAGAACTGACCTAGAAACTGAACTAGAACTGAACTAGAAATGAACTAGAACTGAACTAGAAATGAACTAGAAATGAACTAGAACTGAACTAGAAATGAACTAGAAATGAACTAGAACTGAACTAGAAATGAACTAGAAATGAACTAGAAATGAACTAGAAATGAACTAGAACTGAACTAGAACTGAACTAGAACTGAACTAGAAATGAACTAGAAATGAACTAGAACTGAACTAGAACTGAACTAGAACTGAACTAGAAATGAACTAGAACTGAACTAGAACTGAACTAGAACTGAACTAGAACTGAACTAGAAATGAACTAGAACTGAACTAGAACTGAACTAGAAATGAACTAGAAATGAACTAGAACTGAACTAGAACTTGAACTGAACTAGAACTGATCTAGAACCGAACTAGAACTGAACTGATCTAAAACTGGTTCGTCTCTAGCTGACATAGCAGTCGCTGTAGTAAAGCATAGCGGTAGCTTTCTATGTATTAGATCTTCATATGACTCTTTTTGAGTGTAGCGTATGGTATAGTACGGTAAAACTCTAGAAACAGCTGTAGAATTCTAAACGACAACTTTGTTGCTCTCGCTGTTAATTGTATAGTATTTTAGAACAGAATTTATGAAAATGATGATGATGTTGCTGTTAATGATGATGATGATGAGTAAAAGTTAATATGTATAAGTATCAATGAATGATTGTGTGGCAACAACAATAACAACAACAATTAAACTCTAAACGAAGACGGGTGTAGAGAGCAGTGGAGGGTTAAACAAAAAGTGTGTATGAATGATATATGGCTGGTGATGGAAACAAATTTTTTTTTTTGGGCAGACAAGGGAAACCAGCCACAGTAAAGCATAAATTAGTAGCAGTTGATGTTGTAGTAGTAGCAATAGACTCAGTATACAGGGAATGGATGGATGGATGATGAATGGTGGTGTGTAGTGCTTGAGAAGACGGGCAGTAAGTGACTGAAGACCAAAAACTACAAAAACAGCACAAAAGGCAAAAA